GCTTTGGAAAATAGCTTGACTCCCTCTTCTTTATGGCAGCCCCTGAGATATTGGAACACTGCTATCATGTCCCCCCTCGTCCTTCTCTTCATTATCTTCTCTTCCCCCTTCATTATCTGTGCTTCAGCATTACGAATAGCTTTTAAAAGATTCTTGTAAAAGAACACGGTCTCCTTTCACACCCACTTACACCTACTAAATACCCATCTCTTTCTTTTGATCTTGCTCTCTTTTGCCTATGAGTAGGAATCAAATGATTATCGCTTGCATGATTTCCCTCCTCATGATTGCGCAATCTTTTGTACCTGCAACATTGGTTGCATCCCTGCCTCATGACCCTTGTTTCTCACCTTTAGTATCGAAGCAAACAGGTTGTACTTCAGTGGATCTGTGTGTGCTGGTTTCTGGTACAAATGAATTTCTAAACGTTCTCCTATACTACGTGCTATGACAACACTGCAAATATATTACTTAAGCAGAAGCATAGTGCTGACTGCTCTTTAGAAGGCCAGATCCTGAAGTTGAAACTCAAGTACTTTGGCCACCTAATGAGAAGGAAGGATTCACTGGAGAAGAGCCTAATGCTGGGAAAGATTGAGGGCAATAGAAGAAGGGGACGACATAGAATGAGGTGGCTAGATGGAGTCACTGAAGCAGTAGGCGTTAGGGTTAGGGTTAGGGTTAGGGTGGTAGAGGACAGGAAGGCCTGGAGGAACATTGTCCATGGGGTCGCGATGGGTCGGACACAACTTCGCAACTAACAACAACAGCAACAAGAACCATGGTGATAGCAAGCCAATCTATTCTGGGAGGACAAGCCACAATTCAAGAACCATTGCTAAGAATTGGGTCCCTGCCTATTTGCTTCACACCCAGGGAACTTCCAGTGCCAATCTCAAAATTCCCGTGTTGAGAAGAGTTTCGCTAAGAATCATTTCTTGGGGAAGGAAGAAGAGGGCATAATAACATAACTAAAGTTTGTGTCTCAGGTTGTTCTTATTTGCCCCATCAGTGACAGTGGCAGCTCTAGGTAATGTCTCAACATATTTGGCATTTTCCACATCAGAGCCAGTTAGGTGTAGCAGTTAAGACATCAAGCTAGAAATGGGAGATTTTGACTTCTGGTCCTAGGAGGGAGGCAGTGGGAAGCCACTTCTGAAAAACCTTTCCAAACAAACTGCGGGCATTTGTTCAGGCAGTTTCAGAAAATCAGGCACAATTGAAGAGATTTTTCCCCCCCAGATAGCTTGTAAGAGATGATTATAGAAAGAACAGTCTCTTGTTACACTCCCCCATTTATGCACAAATAAAAGGCTGTGTGTTGATCTGTTTGGGAGTGCAACAAGAGCACAGAGTCGAGACAGCAACTCCAACCTAGCTTTCTTCCCTTTACCAGGCAACCTGGAATACGATATATGTCCCCGATGCCTTTTAGGTTACTCCTACTTAGGAAACAAAGGAACCAAAAGTCAAAGGATTTCTGAGAGGGCAAGAAATAAGCAATTGGAATGGGAGTTTCAGGTTCACTTGCAATTATGTGTATTAATATGTGACATTTCCCTTCTCTGTTGCAGCTGGCAAAGGAATATGGGAACATTTTTTCCTTGTGGGGAGGGGGCTATCACTGTATAGTTCTCTGCGGATACCAAGCTGTGAAAGAAGTACTAATAGACCATTCTGAAGCTTTTGTTGATCGCCTGAGCACACATTACATTTCAGCTTCAGTAAAAGAAAAGGGTAAGTCACAATCAAAACTGTGGATGCTACCTTGTCATACCCCCCTCAAAATCAATATGACAATAGTAGGAAGGTTTGGATTAAAGTATCTGGAAATGAGAGAAGGTTGTTTTAGAGAGACATTGCCACAGTAGAAAAGGCTGCTGTAGAACATCCTGTACATATTACAGGCAAGGAATATGTTGAAATATCCATCCAGCAGATTTGACGTGACTGTAGTAAAAAATAGGCAGCCACACATCTAAATTAACATTATGATTTTCATCTCAGAAGCTTCTATCATACTGTACATTATATGAGATGTAAGGAGAAGCCTTAAGAAAGAGTAAGGATGTGGGACTTCAGTAGTCACCGATGAGGTTAAAAGGGTGCTAGGAACTCTCCCAAAGCGTTGCATCCCATCCGCTGTATCAGTTGAGGCTTTCTATGTCATTAATAGTACAAATTTACCATTAGGATTGAGGGTTTGAGACATAGAGTACTATTCAGTATGAAAAATTGGGTAGAATGGTTTGGGTTCTTTAATGCAGAAGCATAATGTCATGATTCCGAAAGATGAACCAGTGTTGGCATCTGCTAACTTCGGATGTCCTTGCTTTGACACATAAATTGCACATACGTTTTGAAATCTGTCACTCTGATTAATTTTCTACTCATGTGAACGCTACTTTTTTCAATTACCTCAGGTATTGCATTTTCAAACGGTCACACCTGGAAACAACAAAGACGGTTTGGCGTTACCACCATGAGGAAATTGGGACTAGGGAAAAAAGGCATGGAATCTCAAATCCAAGAGGAGGCCCACGAGCTTGTGGAATTCTTTGCAGAGACAAAGGGTATGTGACAGACTGAGATAATAATAGTAAAATTGGAAGGGACCTTGGAGGTCATCTAGTCCAACCCCCTGCTCAGGCAGGAAACCCTATACCATTTTGGACAAATGGCCGTCCAGTCTCTTCTTAAAAACCTCCAGTGTTGGAGCATTCACCGCTTCTGGAGGCAGGTTGTTCCACTGGTTAATTGTTCTAACTGTCAGGAAGTTTCTCCTTAGTTCTAGGTTGCTTCTCTCCTTGATTAGTTTCCACCCGTTGCTTCTTGTCCTGCCTTCAAGCGCTTTGGAGAAGAGCTTGACTCCCTCTTCTTTGGAGCAGCCCCTGAGATATTGGAACCCTGCTATCATGTCCCCCCTCGTCCTTTTCTTCGTTAAACTAGACATACCCAATTCCAGCAACCGTTCCCTATATGCTTTAGCCTCCAGTCCCCTAATCATCTTTGTTGCTCTTCTTTGTACTCTTTCTAGAGTCTCAACAACTTTTTTACATCGCGGTGACCAAAACTGGATGCAGGATTCCAAGTGTGGCCTTACCAAGGCCTTGTAAAGTGGTATTAACACTTCACATGATCTTGATTCTATCCCTCTGTTAATGCAGCCCAGCACTGTGTTCGCCTTTTTGGCAGCTGATGTTGGCTTGAGTATAATGGCACAGAAATCTTTCAGTAGTGTTCCTTACCTGCTAAATCATTGAGTCATAGAATCATAAGGTTGGAATGGACTATGGAGGATTTCTCAAAGAACATCATACCCATGGCAGGAATCCTTCAGTCCCCCTAATCAAAGATGATTAGGGGACTGAAGGCTAAAACATATGAAGAACCGTTTCAGGAATTGGGCATGTCTAATTTAATGAAAAGAAGGACTAGGGTGATATGATAGCAGTGTTCTAATACCTAAGGGGCTGCCACAAAGAAAAGGACAACCTATTCTCCAAAGCACCTGAAGGCAGGACAGGAAGCAATGGAATGGAAGCTAATCAAGGAGAGAAGCAACCTAGAACTACAGAGAAATTTCCTGACAGTTAGAACAATTAATCATGGAATGACTTGCCTCCAGAAGTTGTGGATGCTCCATCCCTGGAGGTTTTCAAGAAGAGATTGGACAACCATTTATCTGAAATGTTATAGGGTTTCCTGCTTGAGCAAGGGGTTGGACTAGAAGACCTCTAATGTCCCTTCCAACTCTGTCATTCTGTTATTCCGTTATCCTAGTTCCATCTCAGACAAATGACTATCCAATATTTCAGTGAAAATGTCCCCTGATGGAACATCCATGATTCTTTTTGTTTTTGTAATATATTTTATTGATTTTTTAAAAAAAACATAAATCACTTAATAATTGGTGAACAGTTGTCTGTTGTAAAACAATCATTAACAATTTATTTCTATAATCCATAATCCACATAATGGTTTTAGTTGATTTCCTCTTTTCCCAAAATATCCTCTTTTGCAAACATTGAGTTAATACAATTCTTATTGTTTTGATAGGTAATAATTAAATATATAATTTTTTCCCAATATTCCTAAAATATAATATTTTAGGAATATAATATCACATCAATATAATATTTCTTTTCTATCCCGTCATTCTGGTTGCCTAATGATAGATCCTGTTAACATTCCTTATTTTAGTTTGTTTCTCCCACCAAATTCTAGGTATTCTTACTGGTTAAGATGTTATTAAAAATTAATTACATTTAAAAATTTAACTCTATTTTTCCATATGAACCATCTCACACTTTTACATTTCTTAAGGAATAGATAAAACAATGGGGGGAAAAAGTAAAGAGAGCAGGAGTAAAGAAACATAAAAAATAACATACTACTTAAAATATATATCCGTCCTAAGCTAATATATATTTATTTCCTAAATTTCTTATTCTTTTTAACCATAATTAAACATATGTTTAATCTTTAAACATTCCATTTAATACATCTAGTCTTCTAGTCCTTTAACTCTTATTCAAAACATTTTTATCCATTATAATTTTTTTAAATTCAATCACATTTAAGTATCTAAAACATTTCCTCTAAGTCATTTCAACTTTTTTATATTACTCATATCAAGAAAGAGAACAAAAACGGGGAAAAAAAGCATACTTTATTATTTAGGGAATTCATCCCTCTTAGAATGACATATATATTCCAAAACCTTTCTATTTCTTTAACCATATTCAAACAAATGGTTCTTTTTTAAGTATTCTCTATCCAATATTTCAGTGAAAATGTCCCCTGGTGGAGCATCCATGATTCTTGGAGGCAGGCTATCTCACAGCTTAATAGCTTTCATGGTCAAGATTTTCCTCCTTATTTCATGTTTGGATTTCACTCTCTATAGCTTCCATCCAATACTTCTTCTCCTACCCTAAAGACCTATAGAGAATATATCCTCACCCTTTCCCCCATGACAGCCCTTCAAGTACAGTATTAGAAGACTGCTACATGTAAGCATACCCAGTTTCTTTAGCTATTCTGCACAAGATTTAATCTTCAAACCCCATACTATCTTTGCTGCTGTCCTCAGCACTCTTCAGTTTCTCCTACTTGTTTTCTGGGAACCAGAACTGATTTGGATGTGATGTTACTAGTATAGCATAGTGGAGCTATCGTCTCCTCTGATCTTGACACTATATATCATTGATGCTGCCTAAGAATGCATTAGCATTTTGGGCAGCTGCAATCACTTCCAGCTCATCCTTAATACCATGATCTATCACAGTGGTGGGAAACCTATGGCACGCGTGCCAGAGGCGGCACTCAGAGCCCTCTCTGTGGGCACGCGCGCCATGCCCCGGAGATGGCAACCATCCCTCTTCAACCAGCCTCCTGCTAACTTGCCGAGGTCCCACGTGGCTGGATGCATCCCAGTACCCATGCGCTTTCTGGCCTCTGTGTGCAGGGGCCGATGGTGTCAGACAGCAGCCACCCCTGCCCTGCCTCGCCTTGCCTCGCCTCACCCCCCAGGATGAGCCTCCTGCCCACCGCCCCACCGGCCAGAGACCCCCTGGATCTCCCCCAACCCTGCCCGGCCCCCACAGATGTCCCTCCCCATGAGCAACATTGAGGTGATCACGCCCACCTTGGCCACATCCACCCAATCTGCCATGACCACCATCCAATGGGCCACGCCCACCCAGCACCCAGCTGGGTGGGCGTGGCCCATTGGATGCCATGACCACTCATCCAATGGGCCACGCCCACCCAGCACCCAGCGATAAATAAGTGGGTTTTGGGTTGCAGTTTGGGCACTCGGTCTCTAAAAGGTTCGCCATCACTGATCTATCAGGATGCCAAAATCCACCACACAAGTGTTAGTGCTGAGCCAGATATCACCTAATTTTCCCTGTGCTCTGTTTTTTCCCCACCTACTTATAGTTTTCACTGATGAACTGCATTTTGTTTGACAGCACCCAATATTTAAGTCCGTCAAGATCCCTCAGCCTGCCTTTTGTGAAATGCCCAATTCCCTCTTACCTTGGGCCATCTGAAAATTTGATGCATATCTCTTCTATCCCTTCATTAACCATTTATGAAAAGATTGTAGAGTGATAAGCCTAGGACAGAGCCTTTAGGTAACCCACTGGATATCTTCCTCCATGTTGAAACAAAAATATTGAGGACAATACATTGGCTACAATTGTTCAGCTCGCTGTGAATCCATCTGCTAGTGGGAGTAACCTCCTCCCCCATTGTTCCAAACACCTTACTAAAGTTTAAGTGAGGCTGTTGGTTTGATCTCCGAACTTGGCAATTTGGCTGCAAATGTTTCATCTCCATTTGGGGGGGACATCTTCACTGTGCTTTGAATTGTGCTTGTCTGTCAGAGCACTGGCCTTTAAATACCTTTTAGTGTGATGTAAATTAGTGTGGGTGTTATTTGTCTGGATGTTTCTGAGTCTGAAAGATGTCCCCCCCGAATGGAGATGAAACGTTTGCAGCCAAATCGCCAAGCTCGGAGATCAAACCAACAGCCCAACTACCAACCCGAACTACTAATATTCAAACACATCTAGAGTTTAATTATTTCTGCCTCTCACACACACTTCCCCCAAAAGTCTTTCCTCTCTGCCTCTTACACACACACTTCCCCCAAAAGACTTTTCTCTCTGCCTCACACAAACACTTCCCCCCAAAAGCCTTTCCTCTCTGCCTCTCACACACACACTTCCCCAAAAAGCCTTTTCTCTCTGCCTCATACACACACTTCCCCCCAAAGCCTTTCCTCTCTGCCTCATACACACACTTCCCCCAAAAGCCTTTCCTCTCTGCCTCATACACACACTTCCCCCAAAAGCCTTTCCTTTCTGCCTCTTACACACACACTTTCCCTCAAAAGCCTTTCCTCTCTGCCTCACACACACACACTTCCCCCCAAAAGCCTTTCCTTTCTGCCTCTCACACACTTCCCCCCAAAAGTCTTTCCTCTCTGCCTCTTACACACACACTTTTCCTCAAAAGCCTTTCCTCTCTGCCTCACACACACACACACTTTCCCCCAAAAGCCTTTCCTTTCTGCCTCTCACACACTTCCCCCCAAAAGCCTTTCCTCTCTGCCTCACACACACACACTTTTCCTCAAAAGCCTTTCCTCTCTGCCTCACACACACACTTCCCCCAAAAAATCTTTCCTCTCTTTCACACACACACCACTTCTCTGACAAAAGTATTTTCTCTTCTGACTCTTTTTCCAACATCTTTTTTTCTCTCCCCGTCTCCCACCAAAACTGCCTCCTTTTATAGCCTCTCCTGTCTCCGTCCCCCTCCTCCTTTCTCTTCTGGGTGTGCCGGAAGTGCAGATCCTGGGGCCTTTGTCTTGCCCCAGCATCCCTGCAGCTCCCGAGGACTCTCTCTCACGGCAAGTCCTGCACTGTGCCGCTTTGGCTCGTTCCCTCCCCTGCTACACTTGTCTAGGCTAGGCAGGGTTGCGTACCACCTGCCAGGTGCCAATGTACCATTGGTGATACACGTGCCACCAGTTGAAAAGCCCTGCTGTAAAGAACACTTTCTGTTTCTATTCTGCTCATTTCCCAGGTCCTTGAATAAAGAAATGGCTGCTCATTTTGTCATATCCAGAGGATATTGTGAGATTAATGTTACTTTTTAAGCTCTGAAATATATAATTTTGTGTGTATGTGTGTGCATATATTTCAGATAAATAAGTCAAGCATTTAAACACATCACAAAGATTATAATTTTCTAAACTATCATTAGTTATGGGCAATTAGATACAAGTGTCATAACAAGGGATTAACTTAACCTAAAAAACAAGTAAAAACAATCATGGCCAACACAATATAAATCACTGAATGGAATTGTACATTACAGTAAGTTCAGTTCATATCACTAAGACATGTATTCTGATTTAGCGATCTCATAAAATTGAAAGACAGACAATATGCAGTCTCTGGATGCAGTACCATGCCCTATGTTACAATATTATTTAACAACGGTTCTCAGTTTGAAATGAGATCTGTGTCAGGTTTGCCTTTGAGGCAGGAAGTTATTCTAGACATTGAAACATATTCCCACCCTTTGGTTAGCCCTTCTATTGAAGGGGTGAGACACCGTTAAGAAGCATGTCTATGGAGATTCTCAGTCATCCAGGTCATAATTGTCCCAAAGGTGCTTTTTCAGGAGGCAACTGGATTTTCTTATTTTTCTTTGAAGACGTTTCGCTTCTCATCCAAGAAGCTTCTTTAGCTCTGACTGGATGGTGAGGAATGGAAGGATTTATACTCCTTGCAGACAGCTGGTCATTTGCATTCTTTTAGAGAGTCGTTGAGGCCACCTGGAGGTTTATTTGTGTCCTCAAGGTCACCTGAGTGGTGCAACCGGGTGTGGAGCCTTCTTGGCTGCAGGATGTTTTCTGCCCTGTGTCCCTTCACTGTTGAAGACAGGCACAGGCTGTTGGGGATACTGATGGCCAAGAATATCAATTAAGGACATTAAAGTTTTGTAAATAGTTTTTCCAGGGTGTAGCTGAAGGAGATAGTTGGCTGGAACAATATCGACAATAGCACTGCATCTTCCCAGAGAGAGGCAGCACATTCCAGTCAAAAGACTGCACAGTCCTGAACTGGAAGCAGAGGAGGAAAAGGTTCAGAGTAGCCAAATTCTAGAATCTCTTAGGATATAGCCAGTAGGTTAGAAGGTTGTAGCTTTAGTCTGGCAAAAATCTGTTCATCAGGGGTAAGCAAATAAAGAACTGGACTCAAGTGGACCTCACTGGGGCTTGAGCCTGACATCCAATTATCTTGGCTATGCTAAAGTTCATATCTTTTGATCTTTCAACAGAAAGTCAGTTTATCTAATTAAAATAAATAAGGATCACAATTTCTCTTCTTCAGGTCTAATAATTTCTGCCAGGCCTCCCAGTTTTGGTACCTACCGCAAAGAAAAACAGAACGCATGTGAATATTAATTCCTATCCTTTTGTTTTCAGGGCAGCCGTTTGACCCTTCGCTATCCATCATGAAATCATTTTCAAACGTGATCTGTGCTGCAGCATTTGGACGTCGGTTTTCCACGGAAGACAAGGACTTCCTGGAGTTGACAGAAGCTATTTCATTTCTCATAAGATTTGGAAGCAGTGTCTCTTACCTTGTAAGTATTACTTACGGTACCTTGTTTTTCATTTTTAATCTTCTCTTTCCCAAATGCGTCTGTCAGTTCAGAATTTTCCAAAAGAATGGATGTATGGACTTTAACAAAAATTCATATGTAACTCAGTTTCCTTCCATGACCCTCCCCTCCCCTCTCCCTCTCCTCTCCCTCTCCTCTCCACTTTTTTGTAACTTCAAATCAATGTTGACTCAGAATTTTCCAAAAGAATGGATGTATGGACTTTAACAAAAAATCATATGTAACTCAGTTTCCTTCCATGACCCTCCCCTCCCCTCTCCTCTCCCTCTTCTCTCCTCTCCACTTTTTTGTAACTTCAAATCAATGTTGACTCAGAATTTTCCAAAAGAATGGATGTATGGACTTTAACAAAAATTCATATGTAACTCAGTTTCCTTCCATGACCCTCCCCTCCCCTCTCCCTCTCCTCTCCCTCTCCTCTCCACTTTTTTGTAACTTCAAATCAATGTTGACTCAGAATTTTCCAAAAGAATGGATGTATGGACTTTAACAAAAATTAATATGTAACTCTCTCTCTCTCTCTCTCTCTCTCTCTCTCTCTCTCTCTCTCTCTCTCTCTCTCATTGGTAGCTCTATGAAGCTTTGCCATATATCATGAAGCATCTGCCTGGTCCTCACCAGACTGCCTTTTCTTTTTGGGAGATGATGATTTCATTTGTGAGGAAGGAGATCACACGTCATAAGGAGAATCAAAGCCAGCATGAACCACAGGATTTCATTGATTTCTACCTATTTCAAATGGAGAAAGTACACATTTGCTTTGTCTTGGGACTATTGCTTGAAGATGAATCCATGCATAACTCCCACCTATTCCTGAGCATTTTCTAGAATCATTGATAAAACTCCCCGAGTGACTCATAATACTTGAAAGTATCAGAATGGGATATAGTGTCTACCTTCCCTTAAGAGAAAGAGAGAGATCTTATCTGATGTCATGTGCCCACAGACACAGGGAAGGTGCACACTCTAAACTAGGGGTAGTCAACCTTGGCTCTTTTATGACTCGTGGACTTCAATTCCCAGAATTCCTGAGCCAGCTTAGCTGGCTCAGGAATTCTGGGAGTTGAAGTCCACGAGTCATAAAAGAGCCAAGGTTGACTACCCCTGCTCTAAACTGTTCTGATAGATTCTATATGCTCCTTCCTGCACAACCACTAAGATGAAGGACCTGGATAACTAATGAAGGAGAATGCTTGTAACTCAGAGTTGACATGAGGGGTCCTTGGTGCTCTCTGAGCTTGCTTGTTTTTTCTTCTTGTTTCATTACCCAACTAGGTAACATCATCAGTGCTAGGAGGAATGAGGTTTGCACTCATTTTATATTCTACTAGCACTGATGATGTTACCTAGCTAGGGTAATGAAACGTCTGCAAGAAAACAAGCAAGCTCAGAGAACACCAAGGACCCCTCACCTGGATAATTACTAAACCAGATTATCTTTTTTATTTGTGACACAATGATTAGGCTGCTACTGCAGTAAAATCTAAGCCAGATGTCTTATCTTTCACTCTCCTAGATTACAATTTTCACATGGAGCCTTAAAAGTATTTTTGTTTCCTTCTAATTATCATCTTGCCAAAATCATTTGCATAGTATTGTCAGCTCACCAGGTCGGGGAAAGCTCAGAAATAGTATCCCAATTGCTCCTAATAGTTTCTTCCCTGAAGTCCTCACTGCAGATAGTCCTTGACTTACAACAGTTCGTTTAGTGACACTAATAATTGTTCGAAGTTACAACAGCACTGAAAAAAGTGGCTTAGGACCATTGTTCAGACTTAGGACCACTGCGGCATCCCCATGGTCACGTGATCAAAATACAGACACTGGGCAACTGACTCATATTTATGACTGTTGTTGTGTCCTGGGGTCATGTGATCAACTTTTGCGAACTTCTGACCAGCAAAGTCAATGGGGAAGCTAGATTCACTTAACAACCATATGACTAAATTAACAACTGAAGTGATTCACTTAACAAATGTGGCAAGGAAGGTCATCAAATGGGGCAAAATTCAATTAACAAATGTCTTACTTAGCAACAGAAATTTGGGGCTCAACTGTGGTCATAGATTGAGGAATACCTGTATAGAATTCGTCCCAATTTTATCTCCACCCTCTCCAATCTCACGCCATCCTGGTGGTTTGGGCTACAGTGCCCTTCTCCCCAAATAAGATGGCCAATGGAACAGAACAGGGAGTTAATAAGTTGTGGAAATATTGGAAATAATGGGAAAATGCCATTTCATTTCTCTTACCGTTAATCCTAGAGCAAGGGCGATCCCGATTCTACCTATAATGAAGACAACTTGGCTCACTGCATTATTGACTTATTTATTGGTGGGACAGATACAACTTTAGGTTCTCTGAAATGGGCATTGCTGGTTATGGCAAATCATCTGGATATCCAAGGTGAGATAAAATGATACAGTGCTGACAAAAAACTGGGATTATTAGTAGTAGAATGTAACACAGCATCCGTCTTTCTCAAGGGATTTGCATGTAGGCAAACTTCCATTTTGAATAACTCTTCTTCTTCGTGAATAGCAATAGCCATAGCACTTCGACTTACTGTGTTTCCCCGAAAATAAGACCGGGTCTTTTTTTTTCTTTTTGCCTCCAAAAGAGGCACCAGGTCTTATTTTCGGGGGGATGTCACTCACCTCCAGCTCCAACAGCCCTGCCCAGCAAGTCCACTTTTTCTGGGGCCCGAAGGAGCAGCTTCATTCTGCAGCTGCATTCTGGCCTGCATTTTGCAGTCAGGCCATTCTGGAAGGCCTATGCAGCCGAGTACCGAGCTATGGATTCAATCCATAGTTCTGTCTTCGGCTGCAGAGGACTTGCAGAACCAAGCTATAGATTGAATCCATAGCTCGGTTCTTGGCTGCACAGGCATTCCGGAAAGGCCTGTGACTGAGAAATGCAGGCCTGACAGCAGAAGGCGCCGCAGAAGAAGTGGGCCAGTGAGGAGAGGCCTGGCTGCGAGATAATAATATAATAATAATA